ACCTTGAAGTGTAAACTTGTTTAATAAACCATATCTTTCATTTTCGATTTTTAATTCACGTAGTCCGGGAACTTTCCGGACAAACTGTGTATACGTTATGTCGTAAATATTGGCAACACAAATATGGATGTTTAGTGATCAATAAGGATAGTCCTTTGAACAGAGGTCGCTATAGAAAAGGATTTAACATATTCCCAATACCGTCGAGTGGTTAATTGGTGTTGAGACATCAACCAAGTATTATCTCTTACCGATGCGAGCAACATAGGTGACGAAAGCAGTGAAATTATAAATCGCGAAAAAGTAGCGAAAGAGATTGCAAAAACGAGTCAATCCATTCGTCAAAAATATCGCGCTCTGCAGCTCGGTAAACTAGAAGAGGAAATTGCATTAGAGAGACAGTTCTAACCTATTATTGAACTCTTAAAGCAGATTGCTGAAAATACTGAAACTAATTCGCCAAACACATCGTTTTTCAAAGAAAAGACCCGAATAAAGCGGAAACAAATGCGGATGTCATCAAACAAAACATTGTCCCCTACTCTGCACAAGTTAAAGCGCGCACGATACAACACTGCAATGGTGACTTCTACTCCAACGAAAGAACGATCCAAACGACAATTGACATGGGATACTCCATCGGTTGATACTATCGTCGCCACTGATGCTACTGCCAACGAATCGTTTGTGTCGACTATTCAACGTTAAATGCAAACGTTGGAGAATTTTGAGACGTTTAAAAGTCACTTTGGACCGTTGGTGGAACAATATATGAAAGCTATTCTGAGTGGTAAGAAAGAGAACGACATAGACTACGTATATAGTGTGTATTTTGGCACCGACGGAATGATGCTTGGTGATAAACGTTTTGACGTGGATGAACAGGATAATATAATCGTAGATGGTATACGATTTAAAGAAACACAAGGATTGTACGAATTGACTTTCATGAAATAGGAGTGAGTTATATACTGAAGAAGATAAACAACGATACAAAACAATATTGAAAATGACAAATGCTCATAGAAAACATCAACTCGGCGCAATACTGGGTAACAAAGAATATAAATATAGATACATAATTGCGCCTTTACTACTTAGTGTGCGTACTAAGGGGAAGGGTATACCGCGTAATATGACGCGAAAAAATCAAAAAATTGAGTACGCGCACTGGGACGATCTCAATGAACTCGTCGACCGTCTGCGATTGCTAGACGCATCCCGTCAAGGTGGCAATAATGCTCACAATAACGACTTTCTGTCGATTATTGACGAACTGCGCGAAGCGGGTCTCATTAGAAATTAAATAACGCGCCGACGTTAGAGTCAGTCGTGTGCGCGCCATCATGCCGATCAACAAATTTGGTATATCGCTCGGAACACACTGAGCATCGATGTATTATTATTATTATGAGAAAGAGGCAATACTGCAAAATTACGTGCGTAATAACGCTCTCTGCTTCGTCGGTTTTGGCTACGATGGAAGGTCGCGCAGAATACTGCATGTAGCGCAACCTCATATCGACAGTGACCGCCGCCAACAAACGATACGTAGATATGTGTGTCACGAATGTGAATGACTGGCTGGAGACACGTGAGAAAAAACTTATCGCATTGCAACTGACGTGCAAGCGTTGCGCGACGCTATAAAACAAATTCAGCGTACACTTCAATATCTATCAAATCATAATAAAACGACTGACACAGTAGACATATAGTAAGACAGCTATGGCGACGAACCATGTCACAATCGAAAAACAATGTCTTGTAGAAGATTTGCATGCTACGGCGAGAAGAAATTTTCCTCGTAGACACGTTATCGTACGCGGATACGATGATCTCTGGCAAGAGGATGTGGTAGAAATGCGTCCGTATTCACGCTTCAACAGAGGCTACCACTACATACTTACGGTTATCGATGTGCTGAGCAAGTACGCGTGGGCCATACCGCTTAAGAGTAAGAGACGCGAAGTCAGCAAAGCTTTTGCAGAAATATTTTGGGATAACAAAAGATGTCCACACAAGTTGCAAACTGATCATGGAAAGGAATTCTACAACACAGATGTACAGACAGTGATAAAAAAAGTATAGCATCAATCATTATTTCACATATTCGGTTATGAAGACTTCAATTGTAGGACGATTTAACCGTACGTTAAAGAACGATATATGAAAACATTTTACACTTAACAGAACCTACACATGGATCGACATACTAACGCGTCTTCTTATGGAGTACAACGCACGTAAACATCGAATTATTGGTATGCGACCTATCAATGTTACCCTTGCAATCGCCAATAAGCTCTTAACCACGGTGTACAGCAATGTCAAGATTGCAGGGCCAGCACAATTGAAAGTAGATGATCCAGTACGCGTGAGCAAATTTAAAACAATATTCAATAAAGGATATACACCAAATTGGACGACCGAAGTACTTAACATCAATATATTACAAACAACTGATCCTGTGACGTATATGCCTACGGATTCACGTGGACATTCTTTTGCTGGAGGATTTTACGAATACGAACTGCATCGCGGTGCAAATCCAGAAATTTATCTCGTTGAAAAAGTTTTTCGCAAGAAAGGTTTATGTGAAGTGGCTAGAGTTAGACAAGTCATATAACTCTTGGATAGATAAAACTAATGTACTGTAAACACTATATACAGAATTTATATTTGTAAAAACTACAATATAACTTACAACATATATATACATACATACATAATTATTATTACATATATTAATTGACAATATACATATAATTTATATTATACACTATTTTCTTGTGGTACTTTGTAATGTCCCCATGGTAACGTTTTGGTAGAATTGAGTACCATACACCGCTTATCATCGTATAGACTTAGAGCAAGTTTTGATTCGGACACAATGTATACTTCGTGTAGCTTTGATCGTATACACGACTGTCGACGCATCGTTTTGATTTCATCGTTCAAACATTGTTTGTAATCGTCAAACGTTAATGTTCTCGCTACGACGCTATTCTTTACATCTTTGGCCTATTTTATGTCTCTCTTTCTTTCTACCTTCAATGCGTACATTTTTGCTCTAAGTCCGACAAATTCAGTCATTATCATTCAATTATTTTCATTCTTCATCAATCCTGGAACCTTTTTGTTGACGCGTGGCATACCATACACGTTATCAGCCGGATACTTACTTGTATCAAACCGAGCGATGTCACGTTTCATGATATCGTACACGTTCTCGCATTCAATGAAATAAATGAGACTGTCTGTGGCGGTGTACATAATTTTACATTTTTCTTGGTACAGAGGTGCCATGTAATCGTAATGAAATTCGTGCAAACACGTCTTGGATGTCTAATATACCCATGCCCACATAAATCAGTTTGTTGAATTTTACCTCGAGTTTACGCAATTCAATTGCAATAAAATTTTCAAAAAAGACGCTTTGGCTGTGAAAATTTGTTTAGGAGATCAGTGCTTCCGCACCGTATCTTCCGTCCCACTACGAGTTTTATATCCACATGATTACGTACATTTTCTATAGTTTTACCAAAAAACCGCGATATTCATCAATTTGTACAAATTTTTCTCAAAATCGTTGGAAGCCAGCGTTCGTAATTGTGTGTTCAATTCGACGTAACTGCGGAGCCATGGAGATTCTGCAAATTGTAATATGCAATGGATTTTTGTAATACGAAGACCGTGTTGTACACATTGTTGCAAGGCGCGATAATGAATAATATAACGCGATTTATCGTGTAGTGTTGCGAGCAGCTTCTCCTGCTGCTTGCCAGGCGGCTTATCGCGCGTCGGGCAGAATGATAAGTCAGCGTGTGCGTAGTACAGTTCGCGAGGATACTCAAGGTCGACTTGAAGGATGTAACCGATATTTGAGGTTGATGTCACAGACATTACGTCAACACTCCAGATGTTGTCTACCCATTGGAATGCGGCATACGGTAGCGGCTGACACATTTCCCAGCCGTACACGTTATTTACATCAAAGTACATGAGATATGACGTTGGTTTTGATGAGTCAAACGTCTGCATGTACTTGGTATTAGCGTGCACGTATCTTGTGCTACACTGACGAAGACCACCGCGTATATCGCGTTCGATACACATAACCATATCAACATCTGTAAGTAAGTCAAACGTTATGCCTGTGTGTTTCAGCATAGCGTCCCACGTATAACNGGGTAAAGTATAATAATGCGCGGGATCTAATCCATAACTTCGAATAAAACTTTCTCGAAAATTTTCAAATTCATCAACCAATAATAAAACATCAGTCTTTAAATATAAATTGTTGTATTCACTTAACGTACGATTAGAGAATCGTTGCCAGATGTTTATAGCGTGTGCATATTCACTCTCAGATATCGTTTCATCGGTCAAAAAACTATAAAATAATTCACGCATTGGTAAACGCTGCTCCTGCAACTTGTTAACACAGTATACGTATTCGTACGGAAAGACGCTTTTACGCGTTAATAGCTTAAAGTTTTCGACGGATAAATTTTTAAATTCTGATTCTAAAATTTTTAACTTGTCTTTATGAAGATACGACGCCAGTTTATCGAGACTAGCATTGAGAAATTTATACGAATCACTGAATAGCAACTCTATAATGTAATCTTTTGGATTGTGTTTTTCCAGTTGCGCCACGTTCTTGGAAAAAGATATATTCTCTCCTTGTTAATAGGGAGAACAGTAACATTTCCTTCGAACGCAGTCGCAATTTCTTTAATAATAAAGTGTGCATCGTAACCGGATAAATTGTGAAAAATTACTGGGATACAGTGAGAATCTTTATACTTTAAGTTGCAGTTGGAGTGTGCGGGACCTCTGTACCAACCGGTTATATGACAATGATTGCGAACTCTTTCATCGTCTGCCGCGAATGGTTTTTCGCACACGTAACAGTGACTCGCGTTACGTTAAGCTGACCTTAGTTTTTCCGTTAACGTTTTCATAGGCACATTAATAGATAAAATTGTTTTTACTCGATTAGCCAATTCTTTGAGTTCATCGACGAACCATGCGATGGAATCTTTGTCGCGACGATACCGATAAGCAGAGTCGTTGTATGAGCAGCAGACGGAATATTCTATGCTGAACGCCTTGTGATGTTGATACGCATAGGATGTTTGCTGCTGCGTTCTTCCAGTAGTCTTGTATAATAAGCTCTCAAGCGTATATTACGGACGGGAAACGTTCCTTTCTGCTGTGGTTGCTAAACCTGAGCCACTAGTTTTTTTTCGCCGGTAACCGGATCGCGCAGTTGTTCATTTTTCCACAATCTACGATGTTGACATTCAACTTGTCCAGAGAATAGAAGTAGTGTAAACATCTGCAAATATATAATACATTAATTTTTTTTATTTTATTACATATCCTATACATATACATATATACATAACGCAAAAAGCATACTTGTCGCAAATATATTTGTTGTGTTTCTTTGTACTTAGTTGTGCGCTCACGAGTCAAAACAAATTTTTTATACACACAAAGTGTCCACGATTAACGTCTCGTAAATCCGAAACGTAAAGCAAGTTTACGTCTTCTTTTTCTTTTGTTCTGTCAGACGTATTGGAAAGATGACAAAATTGTTCTTCTTCTTTTTTCTTTTCAATTCCATTATGTACACGTTTACAGAGATTTTGTTAAGCCGTTGAAACTTCGATATTTAATGTACACTAATCGGAAACTCAATGTCTTGAAGAGTCAGCACTGTCGTATAGTGAGAATACGATAATATGCGGTGTCCATTTTTTTTAGGTAGATAAAGAGCGGCGACCACCGACCATGCAAAGCACATGCATTGTCTTTGGATAACACATTAATCACCGCTCTCTTAGACTTAAGTTCTTGTGAGAAATGTAGGTGACAACCTGCGCGCAATGGATTGTATTTGTTCATATTTACGATTAAATTCAATATACGTGACAAAGTCCACTTACTATCGCGTTCTTGGAGTTTATCTAAGGACGCTAACGTAAGTTTCATTAATGTATCGCTCGTACCACTCGTCTAAATTAGTTACGAAAGAGTTCCGAATTTCTCGTTGTTATACTTTTATTGGCCCGTTTATTTCCCGATACAAATTCACCATTAAACACTGTATTAATTTTCAAACTATTGTACTTCTCTGTGGCATTTTTGATTTTTTCCAGCAATGTGTTTTTCGCGTGTTTGAGAAAATGGCAAGGTTCAATATGATTTTTGTTAATGATAGCACCTGTCATTATTTTGCTTTCAAAAGCGGTGTATACTTCTTGCCATGTAAAATCATATCCGGCGCCAATGTATGCAAACTGTCGACGCAATGAAGTTTTCAACCTTTCGAGTCACGCAATTCTAGCGACCAGCGAGTGTCTGATTCCGACAGACAGACGTTTGTTCCGACTTTGTTTTTCTAATAATTCGAGACATTCTTCACATCGCTGTTCCCACGCGACAAACTCTTCTTGCGAGTTCAAACGAGTCGATTGTTCCAATACATTGCGCTCTAATTGCACGATAGTTTCCATTTTGTCACTTTTATAACACTTTGTCTTCGAAAAGAAACACACTGACTGATCACTCACTCTATGTTTTGATGAAACACTAATTTTATGAGACGGTTTTGCCCTTTTATAGTGTATTTTTTGCTGATGTTGCATTTTGTTAATGCTAAATTTTTATAAACATAACGCACATTGAAATCTGTGATTAACAAAACCTGAAATTTGATACAAAAAGAAACTGCAATGTTTGCGAAACAAAACTTTAACTACAAAATCAAAACCGATGAAAACTGATACTCAACAAAAATTTACTGTTTGCATACTTTATGAGCTATACATATAACACTTTTGTGATTGTTTTTATCTAATACGCAGTTAGCCATTTTGATGTCATCAGTAATTTTTGCTTTTATAAAGTAGGATTATATTACTTTGATACGTGATCAAATTGATGACATCTGATTCCTAAAATGCCTACTTTGCGAAAAAAATTGTTCTCTCATATATAATAAAAGTATGTTACTCCGATATGTAATTTGCAGAAAAAAGCGTGTTTCTGAGTCATAAATTTTGATGTCATCATCATTTTTTCTAATATAAAGTGGTGGGGTTAGCTATTTAAGGCGGTATTTAAAAAGACTTCTACGCGACATCCCATTATTCGATTTTTAACTGTGGTTCAAGAAGACACAATGTATACCAACAGAAAGTGTAACAGCGAGATGAAGATTGTACGCAACATGTAAGTAAACTATCGCATTACTTGGCTTTGTTTTTGTTTTTGTTTTTGTTTTTGACACATACGTCATTCACTTGTTTTTACAGTGTACAAAATGCGTCTTTACCACATCAGACAACTCGCATTTTAGGAAGACAATACGCGTTAACGTCAACAGGGTACAAACATATTGAAAGTTGAATAAGTGTTGGCGCAATTTCTTATGTCGAGATAATTATCAGAGATAATCATGGAAATTCACTGCTACTACTAATTTCTACATGAAAAACAATAATCCAGAAGCAGACAGATATTCAACAACTACTACAGTTGGCAGATGCATCTGCTACTTTGTGGCTCCGCGATTTAGCGCTGAATTTTGTTGTTATTTGCGACGCACAAATTGTAAAATTTACAGTAATCGACAAGTGTTTGTATATAAAACCACTGACCGTAAAAGTTTTGGTAATTTTAAAGTCATGTATCGAAAACATGTATTATTGGTTGGCAGAACATACCCATGTAGTAAATATAAAGTTTGCGCAGTTTGTTCGAGTCCTACGAGAACAAAATATTGTATTACTGATGTAAGCAACGCTGCAAAAGCGATATGTGAGAGTGGGGTGTATGACAATAACGCAATTATGGATTGCGAATTGTTAGCATGCGCTGTAAAAAATATTGTATTTGATGCGTGTAAATAATATCTATAAATTGTGTGCTGAATAAATTTTTATGAATATTACGTCTTTGGTATATACTTCTAGCTAAAAATTGCAACTTTGCAATTTTGCGCGCCATTGTAAAAAGCGTGTAAATGATATGTACAAATATCTTTATAAAATCTGAATATAAAATTGAAAATTACATCTTTGTTATTTCTCTCCTAAACTACAACGTCACTTGCATCGCGTATTATGTTACACTATATCGTATATACAAATTATGCGGTTTCTAAATCAGTGACTCCGCATTTTTTAGAAAGAAAATACAAAACTGCATCTTACAATGAATCATACTTGTCTCGTTTCGCACTATGTTTTACACATACTATAAAATTGCAACTCTGCAACTTTCTATACTTGTCTTGCTTTGCACTGCATTCTCATCGTAGAATACAGACGTCAACACATTGTGTGACAAAAACAAGCGCATCTCGCACGCCGACCTCGGACGGACCATAGGCCGCTCTGGGATATACAAGCCGACCGATTTTGGCAATCAATACCAATCCCTTTTTCGAGCTCGAAGCAGAGTTGCAAACTCTGGCCGGCTAGCAACAAGAACATCGAGGTAGTGAGGACACGCACACCATAAGTTCTCGCTTGAGTGCGTGCCCGTACCACCTCGGTATTTTTGTTGCTAGCCGGCCAGAGTTTGCAACTCTGGCTCGAGCGCGAAAAAGGGAATGATATTGATTGCCGAAATCGGTTGGCAGAGGCGGTGTCTCAGGCTAGAGAGATTCTCCAGTGCAAGAGACGCTGTCACGAAACACCGCAACCAGATCCTTCGATCGAGGCGTTGTCGTGACAGAACCCGATGCGAGAGACGTTGTCTCGGACACCATTTTGACCGTCCAGTCAAAGCGTTGTCTCGACAGAACCCGGAGCTAGAGGCGTTGTCTCAAACACTAACCTTGTCACCCGGTACTCCGAGAGCGACTGAGGAAGCTGAGGTGGCGCAACGAAAAGGAGAGGAGACTGATTTACTGGAATTTTTATCTCTGGAATCGGAACCCAAAGAAGACGAAAACACAGGCGGAGTTTGAAGCGGCGCAAAAGTCTGGTTAGGGACCATAAATAAGCAAGGAAGTTCTTTTTATTTGTTTTTTAAGCCTAACGTATGGTCATTAAAGTGATTTAGTTTAATTCATTTTATAAGATTAGCCGCGAATATTGGATTAATAAGTATGTTAAATACCTACGCATTTTGTTAAGCAGCGCTTTGATATAAAATAGCATGATAATTAAGTCTTTAAAGTTTACTTATCCTTTTTTAATATAATTTACACACTTATGTTATCTACTTACTTATCTTATTTTAGTATAATGATAGAGATACTTTTTGTTTAGTATTAAGTCCTAAAAGTAGGATACTTACCTTAAGCGATTCCGTAGACACGATCGTACTGCGCAAGGTTACGTCAACCTGTAAAAAAGAAAAGTTTATGTTAATTAGTTATTTTGTTTAAAAAGAGGGATGTGCACATTTTAAAAACACACACGTTTTGGGAAACACTAAACACACAATACAACACACAAACACATACCCTCTCTTATACATCTGACACGCTTAATACACACATCCAACATTCATACTCATACATCCGATACAATCATAAGGCTTCATTCATACGTAAAACAATTCATACACTCATACGCACTCCAATCACACTGCAAACACCCGTTAACATTTACTTACAAATCATACCACACACACATTAACGTCCGCACTTAAGGATGTCTAATTATGATCTCACATCAAACAACACACTATCACACAGTCGTCTATTCACACACAATAAACACTCTTAACACAGTTATCCAGTACCAGTACATATAAAACAAAAACACTCGTTAAGGGATTCACACATTGTTTCACACACACTCTATAGACAACACACACACCACATATCATGCGTTAACCGTTTTAGTCCTAAGCAATTTTTGTAAATATGTATGAAAAGTGCTATGCCTATTTTGATTATTTTAAAGGAAAGAATAATGGTGTCAAATAAAACACTCTAATTCAGACAAATATGATTTAATTATTATAATTCTTTTTTTATTATAAAGGAAAAATGTTCTTTGACATGAATAAAAAAATAAACATAACATATCAATATTATTTTCTTAATTTTTTTGTTTTTGGAAATAAAAATAATAAAGAAAAATATGTCAACAAGTATGCTTTGCCGCACAAACAGCATGTAGGCCTTTCTTACAGCGGGCGCAAATAAGTCGGGATCGCTTTACACTCCCTGTTTTTCTACACACCACGCACTGGCGTAAGCTACGTCCTGGTAATTTTTCCAGAGCAAATCTTTTGGTTGATGAAGATGGTTGTGTTGACACGCTATTTTTATGATTCATCCACTCCTTTTCGATATCTTCGATAATCTTCGATGTGAATTGGAGCCGAGTAATTTGTTTTTCAGTAGTGTTTGAGACATATAAAATATAAGAGTTTAGCACCATTCTTCCAAATATATTGAATACTACTTTCTTCCAATATTTTAAGGTTCTTTGCTCGTCCAAATACACATATAACATTTTGTCCGACTCATCCACACCTCCCATGTATTTATTGTAGTCATCAATCACGCTCGGTTTCACCTTTTTGTATTCAAAATTCCCTTTCTTTTTCTTGATCGTCACATTCTCAGTATCTGCATTGGATGAGATCAATATGACTGGGTTTGGTTTGGACTTTTTGTCTCTGAAAGAACACATCAAAATATCTTTATGTGCTAGGTATTTGGCTTCTTCTACGGTTGCTTTCTTAGCTTCTGGAGGAATCTCTTTTCGATTGCGTCTTATTGTTCCAGTTAGGTATGTATTCTGTTTCAAAAGGGATTTGGCCAGGCGTAAGCTTGTGTAAAAATTGTCTGTAAACAAATGGTAACCTTTGTTTAGATAATTTTTAATTGAAAGCAATTTTTGCACTACTGCAAATCCAAGACCATATTTTTCTACTGAATCTCTGTCGTCTGTGCTTTTAGCTCCTTTGTAGCAGAAAAAGCCCAAGCAATATTTAGAAACCGAATCGCAAAGCATCCCCCAAAATTTGATTCCCCATTTATGATGTTTCTTGTTTGGAATGTATTGTTTTATGGCAGAGTGGCAGTGAGTACCAACTAACAACTCATCGATAGACAATTGTTGGTTTGGTATGTAATGTCGCTGAAATACAGTGTTTGCGTGTTTGACAAGCACATCAAACCTGCCACATGAGTCATAATTTGGATGGCCTGGTTCAAATAATAACCTATTGTTAACCAAGTGAAAAAACTTCAAAATCAGCTGAAATCTATCCCTTGAAAACATTTTTCCAAACCATGGTATATATCGGGAATTTTTTATCCAATAACTATAAACTGTTGGCCTTCTTGTAATCCCCATTTCGATTAAGACTGCAATAAAGGCTTTTATTTCGTGTACTATTGTCGGTGTCCACTTTTTTGCTCGAGAATTTGCAGAAGCTGCATGTGAAGCCAAAAACTGGGTAGCATTTTGATTCGTTTCCTTTACGATGGTTTCGAGCAATGACATAGTAAAAAATAAATTGAAATAGGTTATGGGTGTGGCATCAGGAGGAGGCGCCCGTCTAGGTCCAGAAGTCTCAAAAAAATTATTTGTTGCTTTAGAAAACACTTTTGTCGGAGGAATATTGGCGAAAGTTGGTGTTTCGTCTGTTTCTGAAGATGAATTTGAAGTAGAAGACTCACTTTCAATCCTCAATCGTTTTGTTCAATGCATTATAATACTGCTATCATCACTGTTTGAATCCGTTGTTTCACTCTCCATATAATCACTAGAGATCGAATCATCGCCCGAAGTAAAAGCACGTGACATGGTTATTTTTGCTAAATAATATATAATAACTGTAAAAAATTATTTTTAAAAGTATAAGAATGCACTCTAGTAACAAATTATGCGTGAGGTTAGAATACGTTTACTCCCACGGAGCACCAAAAACACACTGCCCTGCGCAGCAGTTTTGCGCCGCGCCGCAATTTTCGACACAAACTATCGGATCAGTTTTGCGCCGCGTAGCACTCTAACGGTTAAGGTCCAGATTCACAACACTTTACACGAACAGAAAAACGGTACACTTAAGAGCTTAAAACTATCATACAACGTTCACACACACAAGTACTCCTCAAACATGCACACAACTACTCTTAAGAAACACACACATGCCACACGTATACAAATACCCACACACGCCAACATATATAATAAGAGCCCATTCATGCATCATACATGCTATTAACACACTCTTCACACGTACATGCACGCTCGTTAATTCACATTTACAACACTTTACGGGTATACACACAAACATACATAGTAAGGGCTCACACACGTCTTATTCACACACCACACAGGCAGACACTTTACACACACAAACACAAGTCTTATCAGGCACTTCTAAATTACATCTACAAAACTCAATACATACATTAATAAAAAATATACATACCACACGCGTCACCCACACACAAGCGACCCACACGCACACGTACACGCATTAATTCGCATTCCTACGTGTCCCCATGTATTTATTATATATATATATATAATGCGTGTAATAAACCAGAAGATCCAGGGTGAAGATGAAACGTCGATTAAAAAAAAACATAAGCAGTTTTTAACAAGTAAACGTTTCAATACCTTTAATGTGGATCATCTTTAATACTACAAAAAATTTTAAAAATAAAATAAATGAAAAAGAATAAAATATTATACATACAGAAACGAAGATAAAATTTGCAAGAGATACAAAAATTGTTTGTAATAATATAACATTAATATGTACGCACCTAGACAAGCAGATCAATAACAAAGGCCGATCTCGAGTATAAAGGCAAGCGACAATCAAAAAGCCAATGACATGGACATACAAAACAAGCATCATTGCGTATTGTCATGTATCAGTTGCATGTATCAGTGTCTAAACCGAAAAATTTTTCAAACAAATTAATAGACATTGTATTACTGGGAAACAATATGAAGTGTAATGATTTTTGTCAGAAAAAATAAAAATTCAAAAAAGAAAAAAAAATCAAAGCTTATAACGTAGTCAAAATGATAAATTGTCAATATTTAAATTATTCAATTATGTAATAGTCGAAGCTTCTAAATACCCAGTCAAAATTGTCAATATGTAACTTATTCAATATGTAAAAGGTGTAAATATTATAAAACTAAAATAATGGACACTTCCTTTTAATTTTTAGATCAAAAACTATATTTGGAAGTTACGAAGCTCGCCAAAACACACAATAACGACACAAAGTGACCGCCTTACACAAAACATGATACAAGTATGAGAAGTAGAGAAATAACGCACAGTTTCAAACCAATAAAATCAGGAAAGAGAGAAGAAAGAAAAACACACGTGACACGGACCAAGTGACTATTGGAGCTTCTTTAGAACAGGGATGTAAATAGCATCAAGAAGCTCCGTGTCTCTCATTAAATTGATGCTCATCTTCTGCGTTTTAATATGCAGCACTTCGGAGACTACTCTTTTATGGTAAAAACTTTCTTTATCTAAAATCTCTATTCTATTCCACTGAAAATCATGGCCAAAATCAGAGCGGTGTCAATTGACAACCGACTGCCTGTCATAATTTTGGTAAAAATTACACTGGTGCTCAGCCAATCTACTGCGTAATTGTCTTCCTGTTTGGCCTACATAAGAACCTTCACAAGAAGAACAATTAATCCTGTATAATAATAACTACGTTATTATTAAAGCCATGTTTTAATTTATTTTTGTGAGTCAAAATGAATCTTTTCAATGTGTTCAAAGTTCAAAATAAAAATTTTAAATTTGAGCTGTAATCTTATTATTAATTTTTTTTTATTAGTAAGTATATATATTGCCAGAAAACTCTTGTTTTATTTGACTTACAACTCTTTTAACAAAATCAAATGTTTTCTTTTACGCTTAGTCACAGTATTCCAATATCAATATCAAAGAGGAGTATGTATAGGGTACTATCTCTGTAGTCAACTTTTGAAGTCAAATTGTGCAGTTCTTTTTTGTTCTTACTACCACGCGATACACGGCCTTCTTTCACAGTGAGCGTGCCCATCTGTGACGGGCTCGTACTCGGGATGTTGTGACTATAATCGTTTTGTGGGAGGAAGAAATTAATTCAGAATTACACCCAAATTAATTTTTGGAGACCCGATGTAGTTCGCCGATCAACCAAAAAACTCGGTTGAAGAAGACCGGCCCGAAAAAAATCCTTAAGTGGTGACCGGATTCAAACTCGGGATCTCCGGGTTCGCAGCCCCTGCACTCAGGCCGCAAGACCACTAAGCCGGTCCCACGTATAAACGCAAACATACTCTTTAAGAGACAATACACACAACAATCACACCACACACACACACACATGTCATCCATGCACACAAACACTCTTAAGTTGCACATTCACTCCATACTACACTCACACAAACATTCATACTAAGAGTTCATTCACACCTTAGCACACAGCCACACACACAAAGAACACACATACAAAAAATCCCTCGTTAAGATCAAGTCTGTAGAGGTATGAAGGTTTAAAAGGGAACTACTTCGCGCCGGCGGAGTAGACGCGCGCGCGACAAAAAAGGTGTGCGGCGCCTGAGTAGTCAGTCGCAAACGAACAACGTGTTAGCGTACAAACAAGTTTTGTAGACCCTGTAAACGTGAAAAGTGCGTTACGTAATATTAATAAGCATGTTGGCACTGTGATATACGTGCTCATGTTGTAGAAAATAAAAAGAATATTATATATATTAGGTGCGCAACTAAGTTCTTGCTGTCTTTTTTTGAAAATGCAACTTTAATGTAAAAAAATAGTTACAAATGAATAATTCAAAGTATTGCCCATCGGTAGCTACAACTTTTTCCCATCTTTCTGGCAGAGCTCGAATACCGTTACGGTAAAAGTGTTCGTCTTTTGAGGCTATCCACGAATCAAGCCATTGTTTGATGTCTTCATATGAGCGGAACTGCTGATCAGCCAGACCATGTGCCATCGAACGGAACAAGTAATAATCGAACGGCGCAATATCTGGGGAATATGGCGGGTAAGGTAGGATTTCCCATTTGAGCGTTTCCACGTAGGTTTTAACGGATTTGGCAACATGAGGCCGAGCTTTGTCATGCAGTTCACTTTTTTGTGCTTCTGCTTGTATTGTGGCCATTTTTTGCGCAGTGCTCGGCTCAGTCGCATCAATTGAATTTGATACCGTTTTCCAGTGATGGTTTTGTTTGGTTTCAATAGCTCATAATAAATAACACCGACCTAGTCTCACCAAATACACAGCATAACCTTCGCAGCGTGAATATTCGGCCGAGCCGATGACGTAGAAGCATGACCGGGCAGTCCCCATGACTTTCTTTTCTTTGGGTTGCTGTAATGAATCCATTTTTCATCACCCGTTACGATGCGATGAAGAAAACCCTTCTTTTTTTGCCGCTAGAGCAGTTGTTTACAGGCGAAAAAACGACGCTCAACGTCCCTTGGCTTCAAATCATAAGGAACCCAAGTTCCTTGCTTTTGAATCATTCCCAACGCATGCAATCGCTTGGAAATGGCTTGGCGGGTAACTCCTAATGCTGAAGCAAGCTGTTCTTGCGTTTGGCATGGATCCTCATCGAGCAATGCCTCCAATTCAGCGTCTTCGAAGGTTTTTGGCATCCTTCACACGGACTGTCGTCAACATCGAAATCACCGTCTTTGAAGCGACGGAACCAATCACGGCACGTTGTTTCACTTAGAGCAGCATCTTCGTAAATTTTTTGAAGCTCTCAATGCGCTTCAGCTGCCGTTTTCTTCGAATAAAATAAAAAAATCAACACTTTCCGCAAATGACAATTATTTGGTACAAAATCAGACATTTTCACACAACCAAAAGTATATGACGCCAAAACAAGATCACTAACGTGTCAAAGCGGTTTGTTTACCATATGTCCAAGCTTGGCTCGTGACGTTTTGGATATGGCAAAATCGACCAGCACTTACTGCTGGAGCCATCTATTGACAAACAGCGGGAACTTAGTTGCGCAACTTATACTTACCTACAAACTGTGTGTCGTGAGTGTAATCTCCTTGTCTGTCCACCATTTGTCCTGGGATACTGCAGCGTCTACTGTGGGCCTAAAACAGAAGAAGTACTTTTGTCACTTGGAGGATAAAGTGTCTGGCGACCATGGCGTATCGAAACCGTGAGTACCTGATCAAATAATCACCTAAACCCGGTCACAACCTAACCAATCACGATCGAGGCGTTGTCTCGATCATTACCGGCGCTCCGGCGCACATCCTCTCCGTCGGCTCCACGAGCCCGGGGACTAAAACGGCCGTTGTCATTGCCACACCGCCAATCAGTCAATTTTACGACTCATTACAATCGTTTGTACGACTCAAACCAGCCGTTCTCACGGCTCCGGGACATTTCTCCCACGTGTACATATTGCCCTTGTATATAATCGCTTCCGTAGAATAAGAAATAGAATAAGACAACCGCATCGCCGAAACTTGCCCCGCGCTACCGAATAGCCGTTTTCGCGCCGACGGCGAACCGCATCGCAGCACCGCCGTACAACAATTTAATTTCGGTCAATCTGACGATAACTTGTGTAAGCGCTTTACCGCGCTGCCTGTAAAACTAATCTAATTCAGTGAATAAATGTTTGAAACATTACAGCATAACAGTAACCGAGTGTCGCAATTTCACGCCTTACCTTCCCCGATCCTTGGCGCCGACCGAGCTATCCGGCAGGCGGAAGGCCGGGCAAAGTTGAACGGAAATCGGCTCCGTGACATGGCGCCCGAACAGGGACC